CTGGCTGGGGAATTCTGGGAGCTGAAGTCCACCCATCTTAAAGTTGCCAGGGTTGAGAAACCATATTGTAGAGAATACTTTTATAATTGGCAAATTCCCAGACTTGGCTAGTATTCTGAAGATGTTCCTTATTTTGACATGCTTTTTCCAGCACCATGTTCCAAGGGTGCTGCTAATAAACATGCAGGAGGCACTAAATGACCTCAGATTTGCAGCAGTATTTTAAAACATTGTGCATTGGCTTTGAAAAGAATAAGGATTTCCTCAATTTGTGCTTTTATTTTTCTCCTGGATTTTTGCAAAATTGAAAATGTATTCTGTACTGTCACAATATGCTATTGATATGTTCTTTTTGTCAGTGGGATCTTTATTTCTTCTCTCTTGTAAAACCACAACCAAATAAAGGACTTGGATCTACAAACACATCTATGTGGCATTTTTCTTTCAAGCATTGGAGTGCAGAGATTTCTGATAAAACGTTTCAGTTTATGTTCAGGAATTTAACTCTTACCATCCTAGAGTTCAGGCCACAAAATAATAATTTTAGAGAATGACCGATGCTGTGTAAAAGTTAGGGGAGAAAAATCCTAACCGTTATATCAATTTGAGAGGGGAATCGATTGCAGGAGGATAACATGCTCCCTTTGTTGGATGCATTCAAATAGTGGCTAGGACACCCTTCTGCTAGAGATGGTTTTGGGTATATTCCTGCACCAAACAGCTAGACTTAGTGGCCCTTCCAACTCTCTAATGATTCTGTAACTAATATGGCACTATAAACACAGCAAATAAGAGGCAAGGTTTAAATATCTTGGCTGTTGTATAAACAAAATCTTGGGTTCAGTTCTACCTCATACCATTCATAAAATCAATTACTTGGGGCCCAAATGACTGCAAGCATCCACGCTTTTCAGAGGTCTCCATCAGGCAGAACAGACAAAACAAAGAATGGGGGATGAGCAAGGATGTCCAAAAATGAGGTCTCTTACGGTAGCCATGAGGTTTGTACCATTGACCTGGTTTGAAGATGTGTTTTAGAGACTGCATTATATACAGGACTAGGCTTCACCTGGCATTTAGGGGTAAAGAAAATGGTGCGCTCCCAGCTCTGACAACCCAAAGTTTTGTTTACCTTGCCTTGTTCCCATTTGTTTCTCACCATTGGCAAACTTCACAGCCTCCCAGCCAGGCAAAAAACAGGGGCAGGAGACTGGCTTCTGTAAGAAGCCTGGGTGTGATTTTTCAAAAAAACCAGCAAAGCCAGAAACTAATTTGGGGCATTTCCCAGTAGTCAAAATTGCAAATTATGCTAATAGCCCTGGTTTCTTTGTTCAAGGTAGGGAAGGTGGGTTCTCCCCTCGTTTTTCCTCCTAAGATCAATCTAGGGGAGTGGGTGGGGATCAGAGACAGAGATTGGTCCCAAGTCATCCAAGAAGCTCCAGGGCGAGGGGTGAAATTGAAGCTGAATTAGGCTCCTAATACTGCTGCTCGGGGCTTCTCAAACTTCGGACGGCTCTGAACTTAGCAGGAGGTCCCCCAAATTTGGTATGCGTTGCTTCGAGCATGGTCGCCAGGCTCAGACCTATGAGTGTTCCCGGCCCCAAAGAAATCCTTCGTGTTATCCATGGGGAGCCACCCAATGTACTGTATCATTTTAGGGCGACACAGTATCTCAGGGTCTAAGAACCCCGCTCTTAGCCATTGCAAGTGTAACCTGTTAGGAAATTGGGGGCATTAGGAAGCCTGCGTGGCATCTGGAATTCAGTTCAGGCACGGAAGGTGCTTTTTCAAGACCCCCTAAACTCTTAAAAATTTTGGCTTGAGGTCATCGCTTTGTTTTCTTGCTAGTGCTAGCACAAAGCCGGCAAAGGAAATCCACTTAATCGAAACCAAATACTCCTAATCGGTTGCTTACACTTCTGTATCAGTAAATCAAGAGCCGAACCTCGGGCTGACCAGCTCCCATAATCTCTACCTAGCCGAGGGGCGCTCAGCTGCCATAGCCTCTCCCTCGACAGCAAGGACTTTTCATTCATCCGCTGGTGGTTAATACTCGGATTGAAAAGCCCGCATTTAGGAAAATACCTTTCGGAAGTTATGGGCGTTTTTTTCGTTCCAGACCGCGGCTGCCTCTCCTCCAACGGCCGCGCTCACCCACCCGGCGTCGGGTTGCTCGGGGGTCTGCACGTGGGGAGAAGCAGAATCCTGCCGGCTGGTTCGCTCTCGCTGTTTTCCTTTGCTGGTTAACTGTCTTTTTGCTTTCCTTTGCTGGTTATCTCGGTTTTGGCAGACTTGAGATAACAGAGTAAACAGGATGGTGTGCCTGCCTCTCCAATTGACCTGTTTTAAAAAAAAACGTTCTCGGGAAAGTATCTCGGAAAGGACAAATATCAAATAGGCTTCAATATGTTTTTTTTGAAAAAGATCCAGAGGTCGAAAGGATTCAGATTAACCAGAGGTGGTTAATTAGAGTTTAGCACTTCCATTTTGCTTCGTCCAAAGAGAATGTTTCTGTGAATGTTTTTTTCCAGCATGGTGGGGCGGGGGGGCAAGAGAGAGATTTTATTAAGTACTATTGCCTGTCCTTTTAGGTAGTCCATTATATAGCAAATTATTCATTTTCACTGCCGGTTCTCCGGTGGCGTGCCGTGATCGTATAGTGGTTAGTACTCTGCGTTGTGGCCGCAGCAACCTCGGTTCGAATCCGAGTCACGGCAATTTGTGCTTCATTTTTCTTGGTTTTCTATGTCTCATTTAGTAAACATAATAGAACATACTTAAACCAACTTCATTCTTTTCTGTAATAATGATTCCTTCTTCAGCGCGAACAACGTGCGAGTTTTTTCACTATTAAGTAGACCATTCAGAAGATTCAGAATGCACAATTCAAATGTACAATTAGAAGGCTGTTACAAATGGCTGTTTGAAATCTCTGGAAAACCCAGTTATACAGTTGGAAAGCAAACTGGATAATGTGAAAAAAGCGAAAACCTTGTTTGTAATTAAAGGAAATGGAAAAACATTTGGCCCGTACGGGGATCGAACCCGCGACCTTGGCGTTATTAGC